GTTAGCAATATCCCACAAAGTCATGTCTTCTATCCGTACTTTGAAGAGATTCTCATAGAGCTGGACAATCTTAGGTTTGAAGGAATCGGGTCTACTCTGCTGGGTGAGGGGTGAGGCGTCCATGATATTAGACATGATCTGCAACGATTAGATCGCCAGCATTGGAACCAAAAGAGTAAGGTTAATTTAAAGTCGAGTTGATTCAATTGCTTCGAGGTTCATGAAAAAGGGACACCAGCCACTTTGTCAGCCGATCCAGCCACATGTCCTTTTACACTTGGTAATATGTTTACATTCTGGGATTTTATAAAAAAGTAACAATTTTCAATATGTTTTGTATATTAAATCGGTGGATCTATACAATCCATCTACATTTTTTTATACTATTCTCCGCCACTTAACTGTATTTGGTGTGGCATCCCTTATGGAGGGGTGACTCAGGTTTCTCCGAGGAACGGAATTCTCCGCGGAGTCAGAGATGACTCAGCTTCCGAAAAACGCACCTGGATGACCACATTGAAAATCAAGTCTATCTAGGTAAGTTGTAATTATTTTTAACTAGTTAATTAGACTGGATTAGGGAAAGAGGGATCAGATGTTCCCTCAGCCTTTCCTTTAAATTAATACAAAATAAGCTAAAGAGCCTCCCGAGACCGAGGAATGGCGCCACTGCTGTTAACTTATGTGTAGAAATTACTTGATGTTGATTGGTTAGATCTGCGTCATGCAACTGCGTTACATAATCCATCCGGGGCCACGGGGGAATCCTCAAAACAGTCAGAGATTCTTCTTCTGAACTTTACTAGTTAATCCTCCATTCCACCATCTTTCTTGCACAAAGTCTTATGAGGCAATAGCTATTTTTGTCGAGGCTCACTCCCATTTCACACTGATTGCACCTCGACCATGAGTTTCTGTACCGCCATGCAACGTCCTGTGACATCATCCGCCACACTGCTCCGATGGGCAAAGCCCTCGGCAGCACGTCTGCGTACTTTCTCATCATATGGAAACGCCCACCTATCTTCCAAGCGGGATATGCAAACCGCAACCGCCTACCGTCCTCATTCATTCCCATCTTTCCCGCCTCCCCGAAACACCGGCGGCGCCGACACTTCGATCTCAGCGGAATTCCCTCCTTCCGACATGAAATCCCACCAGAACTCATCACAAAGCACATTGTCCAATGTGAGCCTACGGGAAGGCGAAGCGCAAAAATCGAAGCCGACTTCCGCTTCTCCGTCCGCTTCCAAGACTTCCCCGAAGCCTCGTCGACCCCTTCGGGCAAGAAAGGCTGCCATGAAGTTGTCCCCAGTGGCCACTGAACAACTTCGGAAATTGATGGCACAGCCGGATCCGAAGTTCATTCGAGTGGGTGTTAAGAATCGTGGCTGCTCGGGCCTCGCCTATCACCTGGAGTACGTGGACAAGCCAGGAAAATTCGATGAGGTAGTTGAGCAGGATGGCGTGAAGGTCTTGATCGACAGCAAGGCTTTGTTCAGTATTATTGGCAGCGAAATGGACTGGCAAGAGGACAAGCTGAGCAGACGATTCGTTTTCCGCAACCCCAACATCAGTATGTGGCCCCTACAAAAATTGCAGCTTCTTAGATTCGGTTTACTGACTTATGATTACAGAGGAAGAATGTGGCTGCGGCGAATCTTTCATGGTTTAAGCACACAGCTTAAGCATTCCTTTTGATCTGTTTCTTATACGGGACCTCTCGGCGTCTTTCTTCTCGGTGCATCGGACGGCGTTTTCAAAGGGGGTTTTGGGATTCCACGACTACCCTTTTGTTTGAGTACATACGCTTGATATCCAGTTGATACCTTTACCTTTACACACTTTCATTTCGGCATTTTTCGACTGTCTCTCGTGGTCACTGTGGGTTCTTGTGGGCTCACAAGTTGACGGGCCATGTCAAGAGACAGGCTAGAGGCCCAGCCAATGAACTGTTTTTTCTTTCTTTTTCTGCAGAGTAATGATTTTGAGCTCTCGCAAGACCAACCATGTGATATCTTTGTTTATAGATTAGTCCCAACTGTGGAAGGACATTGATGATGATATGTGACATACTTACCTCAGAAAAATCACAAATTTTTACCCTAAACCTGCTTCCTCGATGCTTTATCTTTCTTTTCTATTGGTCTTGGGGCTGTAGAGCAGCGATAGTATACACTTCGTATCCTAAGATATAGTATGTCACCTGACGGGATATGGTCCGAGGCCCCGGAATGGGGTAAGTGCATCTTCAACTTGAAACACACCACCAGTCATTGCTTGTGCAGCAGCCCCAATACATTCCCTATGAAACCACAATATTTAACTCCTATCTAAAACATGTCCTCACCCTTTCTTTCTCCATACGCAGTAGGCGAACCAGACACCGAACCGCTCCTCATCACCGTCCGCTTCTCCGCCTCAATCCCCGACCTCCAACTAGACGTCCCAGACCCCGAGACCACAACAGGCGCAGGCCTAAAGCAACTAATCCGAGCCGAACTCCCAAAAACCCTTTCATCCAACCGACTACGCCTCATCTACTCCGGCCGCGGTCTTGAAGACACAGCCGCATTAACAATCTCACTAAAGCTCCCACCATCACCAAGCCGAAGCCCTCGCCCCGCAGCAGACCAACCCGAGACACCAGACGAAAATGGCAAAGGCAAGCAGCCAGTGCGCGATACCCGCCCACGCCTCTACATCCACTGCTCGATCGGCGACATCGCACTCTCAAAACAAGACCTAGCCAGCGAAGCAAGCGTGGCATCAACAGTCCTTCTACAGCAGAAGCAACAGCAAGCCAACGAAGGCAAGAAATACCCCGCCAAGGATGCTTCACCTCTACTCCCAACGTCTGCCCAACCGCGTCGCCAATTACAACCCCAGCCTCAATCAACTACCACCACACCCGCACCCCGCGGCTTCGACCGCCTCCTATCGGCGGGCTTCACAGCCGCTGAGGTCACCGCTTTGCGCTCCCAGTTCCTAGCCATGCAGTCTGTATCACGGACGCCGGATACTATGCCTACTGGGGACCAGCTTCGAGATCTTGAGGATCGCTGGATGGATGAGGGATCGACGGCGGCGCAGGTGCAGGGTGGTCTTGGTGGGGAAGGTGGACTTGGGGATGATGAGGGTGGGATTGGAGGATCGCGTGGGGCGATGGATGATATGCTTTGGGGGGCTGTTATGGGGTTCTTTTGGCCTGTTGGTTGTGCTATGTGGTTGCGCAGAGAGGAGGGAGTTTGGAGTTGGAGAAAGGGGGTTGCTGTTTGTGTCGGTGTTATTGTTAATGCTGTTTTCGGTGCGATGAGGATCATGAACTGAGGGTATTGAGGTGTGTCTTCTGGTTTTTATTATTTGGCGTTATGAGATACCCCCCAATTCAAGCTATTTGGCACTTTCCGATCAAGACTTGGGATTGTTTGGGCTGTTAACCGTCGTATTAGAGACCGGGATTGCCTACGCCAGAGAATTGGGTCTAGCTATATGAAGACTCGCCGGATGCTATCATACATAATTGCAAAACGCACGCGAGAGACAGACGATAGCCGTGCTAGTGTAGACAGACGTAAGAGCAGAAAATAAAAGGACATGAAAGATAAGGCTGAGTATACAAACGCCAGCGCGAAACCCAAGCGCTAATGGAACTTGCTGAAAATAACAGCGAAAATCAAAAGAACCAGAACCGTAATGATAGCAATAGTGATCATCCGATTGGTAGCCATCCTAAACAACACACGAGAGGTCAGCAATCACATGTTATCTAGATCAGAACGAAACAAAGGGGAGTCAGTACCTACGGGCCATGCCCCTCAAAGTCTTGATACTAGTATCAACGTATCCCTCACTCTGCTGCAAATTATTCCGAGCATTCGTGATCTGCTCCCTCTGCTCATACAGGGTGCCGAGTGTGCCGCGGGCAACATCCTCCGTCTCCAGCGCCATGCGCTGACTTTGCTGCAGTCGCGCTGAGCTGCGCTCTAGCCGGTCCGTACCGGAAAGCAACTGCTGTCTTTGTTCGAGGTGCTCATCTTGCGGCTCGTCGGTGTACCGGTCGCCGAAGAGTGCTTGCCGGTCATCCGAGTAGGACTTAAGCTTGCGCTTGATCTCGTCGATGTCGGTTGAGTAGTTGCGGAAGCGGATGTTGACTTTGGACCGGGTTGCTGAGGGGATATTCTGCTTCTCCATGCGCAGTTGGTCGAGCTTGGAATTGGTTGGGTTAGTTCTCTTGTTCTTGTGGTTGTTCGTTGTTCTCGCATTGTAGCGCATTATGACGGGTTGAGGGGCTCGGTGGACTCACCAGTTCTGTTGCTTCTTCGAGGACATGTGTTGCGTTGGCGATTGCTGATTTCCGTTGCTCGCCGCTTGCCTCGGCGATTTGGTCCAGTTTCTGGTTCAGATCGGCTTGCACCAGCTTCAACTCGTTCTCATAGCTGGCGAACATCTCCGAGCCGGCATCTGCGTTCAGTGCGTTTGACATGGTGATTGTATGATATGTGTTCTAGCTGAGTGGAAGTGAAGATCTGCTATCTTCAATGGTTGATGTGTTGATGTAGGCTCCACCTTTATCTGGGGCGGGTGACGCTGTTCAATAGTGCTGGGTGGCGGTTCAGTCAACGGATCTTATTAAGGTAGTTTCACTTTGCAAATGATGCTTAGACTGGCTTTCCTGGGGTAGTAGGGAGCACAAAGAGAAAATACTTAAAATAACCAAAGGTGCTGATAGGATTAGCAAAGGCTGGAACAGGAACGGGTGACGGTGAGACGCACGTGATTCATCCCGGGTTGCATTTGCGATATACAGATGACATCTATATATAAACTACTTTGGATCTACAACCATTACTTCTAGAAATTGAAATAAGTTGGAAATAAAAATTTGATACATAGCATTAGCGTAACACCAGGCCCACACAAAACAATTCGCCTTTTCAATAAACATCCAAGATACCCCTTTGGTATACAAGATCATGGAACTTTAGCCTCAGAGCCTTCTATTGCAGGAAATTCTTGCTATCCTGATCAACAATGATTGCACTGCGCTTGGCATCCAGGAAAAGGTCCTCGCACTCGGCAACATCAACCTCCTCAATTGCGCCGGGGTGACCATTGACGCGCGAGAGAATGCTTGCGGGGGTCAACAGCTGCAGGGCATACCGCAAGCTGACCTTGCTGCCATGCTCAGAGACCTTGTTCAAGGCAGGTTCTGTGATATTGAGGCCTTCGACCTTGGCGCGCAGCCGGATAATAGTCTTGATCTCCTCGGGGGCGTAGGGGTTGGTGGGGATGATAAGAAGACGGGCAAGCAGATCAGGGGGGATACCGTGTGCGGCGCTGATTTCGTGGGTACCGCGGATAACGGTGTGACCGCGATTGGAGGCGAGGATGACGATCGGGGAGATGCTCGATTCGAGCGCACGGTTCAGATATGTGAAGCACTCAATATCGAGCATGTGTACCTAGAGAAGAAATGGGTTAGGAACGTGATCCAATAATGCATAGGATAAACTTCTCCACATACCTCATCGATGAAGAGAACACCGGGAACCAACTCCGCGACACCCTGATCAATGTACCGGTTAACAACCTTGTTGATTTCCTGGCGCAGCTTGTCCGTAATTTCCGTCTTCTTAGGCTTCATCAGCTGGCCCATCATGCTCATCACATCTTGTCCGCCCTGGGGCCGGGCGTTGGCCATATCCAGGTCGTGAAGCGTCACATCCTGAACAATCTCCTTCTTCTTGTGAACCTCACCCTTGGGGACAGGCACATACTCCTCAGCCTCGAGATCGAATTCGGTCGCATACGCATCGGATCGCCCAACTCGCTTGCATGAGCCGGTGTTGGCTTCAATGTAGATAACATCTCCGATTGTGACACGCTCCTTCTGGATGGCTTCGTAGATGCTGGGGTCTAGGCGCAGCTTCTTGGAGCCCTTGGCGGACTTCAATCCGATGATCAGATGGCTAATCGTGCGCCCGTATCCGCCCAGTGGGTTCTCAGCCTCCTCGGGGGTAAGCTCTGTCACCTCTCCCTCATAAACTTCCTTAGTTTCGCGAACACGGAGGCCTGTCATACGTTAGCTTGTATTTCCACGCTTGCTGCGCTTTCGTTGATGTCGCATTGCATACCAATAGCTCTCCGGAAGTTCTCCATCAATGCTTCGGTCTTCTTGACCTCTGCAGAGTAGATTTCGCTGCCAACAATTGGGCAGAAAGGAACCTTGGTTCCCAGTTCCTGCGATACAGCAAGAGCCAGAGCAGTCTTTCCAGTACCAGGGCCACCGGCAAGCAGGACAGCTCGCCCAGCCATCTTCTTTGACTTAATCAAATCCACCACAACACCACATGCCTGCCCCATAGTTTGAACCGTTAGTTATCGATACCGCAAACCAGATAACCTGGTGGATTCAGCGTTGCTCTCCACTCACCTCGCGGGCAGCTCCTTGTCCCACAAATCCATCGGCATTGTTCTCTGGAGTGCCATCAGAGCGCAAGCCTAGACCCCGAATGTGTGTATGCGCAGCGGTTCTGTTCTCGCGCGAGTTGCCCTTCACTTCACTGATCTGGACCATATTTGGAAGAGGTGTGGCCGAGTAGAGCCACAGGTATTGATAAAATACGAGTCAATGGGTTGAAAAGCGGGAAGTAAAAATGAATCAAAGCTTCAAAGAAATAGCCTAGATAGAGAGGAAAGGTAACGCGATGGTTCTCTCTGAGATATGCTTCTGGCCGAAATTCGCGAGCTAGGGATCGTCAAATGAGAACGCCGCCCCTAGGGCGGTGAACTGCCCCAAATTCTTCCCTGTTGGATCTCTCCTCCGCCTGTTGTCTATTAGCGACTTTCCGGCTCTTTGCATTCTCGACACTCTGTGAGGGCCCGATACCTGTCGAGCACAATGGCAGGCCTACATACAAGATCTGCAATGGCAGCCCCCTTCTCTTTGGCCGCGGCCTTCCGAAGCCTGTCCATTGCCACACCTAAGCGGTCCTTCTCAACGACGCCGGCAACGCAATCGGTTCCGAAACTACCGGATACTGCCCCAGTCTACCCCTACGGACCATCCCAATGGTACAAGCAGGCTGACTCCGGTCTCTACGGAGGCGCTTCCATCCGATTCGGTAACAAGATCTCCAAGGGTCGCAACGCAGGCAAGACACGACGAAGCTGGAAGCCCAATGTGCGCCGAAAGAAGATCGAGAGCGAGGCTCTGGGCGAGTCGGTGTTTATCAAGGTCACTCGTCGCGCCTTGCGATCAATCTACAAGGCCAAGGGCCTAGACAACTATTTGCTGTCCGATCGGCCAACACGCCTCAAGGAGCTCGGTCCTTTCGGATGGAACCTTCGACACCAGATTATGCAGACACCGAAGATCAAGGAGCAATTTGACCAGCAGCGCAAGGCTCGCGGTATTCCTGAGCCCCCGTCATTGAGCAAATGGATGAGGGACCACAGACTGGAAATCAGGAACAAAATCGACAACCTGGATATTGACGCAATGACCAAGCCTCGCAAAACTGCGCGGAGCGCCCAGTCATATGCCCAGTAGAGCAGCTTGGACGACCTGGCGTGCTGAGGGGAATGGACAGGCGCTTGTATCACTATCCTGAAGAGCGATGGACGGTTTTTTGGGCACCACGGAATTTGTGCCATCTTTGTACGCTATCTCGTTTCTCGTGGCGGAAATGATGCTCACAGCTTTCTAATTTGGGTGCGGTCTCTTTTTTCAATTTGCATCTTGGGTCTTCTGTGTACTTATACTCCAATCTTACTTTGTGTTCACTTATCAAGATGTTTCATCTAACTCCATTCTTATGCCAAGTTTATAACATGTACAAAGAAAATATAACACTCTACCGAAATCAAAATTCTGCGGAGCCAAAGAGGAGTGGAAACATGAGCGTCTCGTCGTCAATCCCATATGCACTGCCAATCGCGTTCTCAAGCGAAGAAAAAGCCTGGGCATCCCTGTCACCCACCGATCCAGGATGCGTTGGTTCGCGGAAAAACGGACACTCTTCGGAACACATGTGACTACTCAAGCTCCCAAGCATAGTTTGATCATGCGATCCGGGCAGTTGGCCGTGGAATGCCTCACTTAAACTCCTAGGGAAATCCTCCGTGATCATCTCGCGTATCATGCGCAAAACACCCCGATGCATGATGATCGACGTGAGCAACGGCATCAGGGATTGGATATAGGAAGCAGACTCCGCAGATATGCGCCTCGGTGGCGGGTCTTCCTCCGCCGTTCCATAGAGTGGGATTTCTTTAGCTAGAACATCGAAGACATCGCGCAAAGGCTCAGCTTGAACCCATCGCTCAGCGAGAATAGCCAGCGCGGTTGAGCAGGCGCGTAATGCTTCTGGGATTTCTCGTGATCGGTAGGCGATGGTTTGATGTTGAGGTGGGGTCGCCCAGAAGCAATATAGAAGGGTTATACCTACAGCAACTTGGCTCAAGAGCTGATTACCGGACTGAGTCAGTTGATGGGGGAAAGAATAGAGGGTTTCGAATACATACCCCAGGCCATAGTTGTGCTGTCTGTCGGTCTTTTTGGAAAGTCCTAAATGTCATAGCAATCTGAACGCAAGCTGGAACCGATCGATCCCCAAAGCCATTACAGACGTTATCTTTGGTTGGCTGGTGTAATAGGAGGATCGTGTAGTTGTAAGCCATGCCAACCCATCGATCGCTCGTGTAGCTTTTGGAGGCAACATCGCTCAATAGGCGTAATTGAGACCTCCAAGAGTCCAATTCGCCCAACATGTGCTCTCTCCACGTCGTTGAGGCATCTATTTCTTTGAAATCAGACCGCATCATGGTGCTGATGATCCGGGATTGTATACGTCTGCATCGGAATAAGTGAAGTGCTGGTGAGACATGTGTTTTCTGTGATGGTGTTTCTATTTGAATAGGATTATCCCCTGATCCGTCATGGTGAAGATCTGCGTCTCCGACGTTTGAAAAAAGCTAACCTTGTCAGTGTCTTCAATGCCCTTTCCAGGGACAGATACTAAGATCGGGTAATTGGGAAATTACTTACCTCCACGCTAATATGCTCATCAATGATATTGTTAGGGATGTGGTAAATCCAACTGATAAATCGATCCAAAGCATAAGCAGACCAAAACACTCGACGGCGGGTTTGGATCCCCAAGGAAAACGCGGGGTTTGGCGCCACCGGCTCACTCTCAGCTAGATGAAGCTGGGCCATGACACAGTATCTCATCATTGCAGAGACAATGGTGACAATCATATGTGATGATGGAGAATGGAGTGCATGCAGAGTCAGAAGGAGATATGCCTGAGCATGTAGAACAGGATCCGGTTGCGCAAAAACGTGGGCAAGATATTGCATGGCAGTGTTATACAAAGACTAAGTTGTTAGTTTTTCCTTTGGTCGTAGGTGCAGCGTTGACGTGTACTTACTTGGGAAGTAGCAATGTCATCGACCGAGACTCGAGGTGTTAGAAGTAAGGCAACAGCATGCACCTAAATGCATTGAAAGTTAATAGAAATTCGAACTGTCAAGTATTTGATCCATACCATGGTTACAAAATAGTCCTTCCATAGAGACTGCTGATCCCTAGCCCTATCCATCTGCGAATGAGCCTTCCACGATTCATACCAACCGAGAAAAGTAGTGAGGTGAAGAAAGGGATATCGTGGATTAACTCGTTCCAGATATATTTGAACTAAGCGATCAGATGTCTCGGTTGAAAGCCGCGGGACACGATCTGCCTGCAATACCTGATCTGTGAGCTGCGAGAAAGTGTGGGCATTTGAACTTTCAGGCTGTGTCTGCGAAAGTCCAGAGGAATCGGTGCTTGTCAGAGTAGCTAGTATGCCAATCAATAGGCTGGAATGCCCACATTGGCCACGAGGATCTGGCAAGCCCTCCACTGCATAGGGGGATGGTAAGGCTAATGATGGGCAGGGGGCCAAAGATCGCAGCGAAACAGAATCTGATGAGGCCCTGGCCTGATCTATACTGCGAGGGTATGGTGGCCTTGGCGCAAGTGAAACCTGAGAGACATGGTCCGTTTCAGTGCTTCTTTGATGCGGAGATTCCTGCGTAGTTGTTTTCCGGCTGACAGATATATTCGCTGGCCTCTTGTGTGGAATTTGAGACTCGAGGTCTACAATTCTTTCTTCAAGAGCCCGGGTGTATCTATACAAGTAGTTAGCGGGGTACTTGCAGTATGGTTGACTCAACCTACTCGGTACTGACACGAGCCTTTCGGCTCACAGGATCACTTGAGATGCATTCTATATCCAATCAGATAAGATTATCTTGTTGTTTTTGTCGTTCTATATTTACCGTGATTCGCTGCTGTGCAATTATCACATGGCCTGCTTCCTGTACACTGGCTTTGGTTGGTTTTTTCTGCGATTCAAGGCTGTAATCGGGTACACTTACCTTTTGCTTCCGTGATCGACACCGTCGACAAGCTAGTGCTTTCTGTCTCTTTCTAGCTGAAACTGTGTTTCTTTCCATTCGGACTTGGCATTTGGTGGCTGAGTGTATCGGACTGAGATGTCCGATGAGAGTTCCATTTCGGCTCCTTCGATCCACGTGACTAAGGATCTACCAAAAGGATGAAGACTAGAAGACTTGGTTATTTTATTTTTAACTTCATTTGAATGTGTTTAGAGATACCAGACCAATTATATTCAAGGTCAAGTTCAAACCATTAGTGAATATGCCATGCAAGTTCATCGGCATGTCAAAGTCCGACGGACATCACAGCCCCCGAAATGAGTCCGAATTGACTACTTTAGATGCTCAGAGGGGTAACAATTTATTTTGAGTCTTTTCAATCTTCGCTTTTAAAATATTTCACTACAGCAAAGAAGACCAAACTATAATGCCTCAGAAAATCACTGTTGCTGTGGCGCAAGCCCGCACTCTATCTACACTTGAGTTGACCCTGGCCGCTCTTAAGCAAACCACCCAGCATGCAGCTTCAAAGGGTGTCCATCTTATTCTATTCCCAGAAGCTTATCTAGGCGGATATCCTCGCACTTGTGACTTTGGAACTGTTTTTGGCGCTCGTGAACCCCATGGCCGGGATCAATTTCTTGAATACTTCCGTGCTGCCGTTGACCTAGGCGATACGCCTGCTGGGGCGGGAGATGACTGGGTTGAGCGCAAGCTCCCCGTAGCTCAAGGTCGAGACCACCGTGGTGATGGGACAAGAGAGTTCCTCGAGCAGCTGTCCCGAGAAACGGGTGTCTTTATTGCAACTGGGTTGATTGAAAAAGCTGGGGGAGTCTGTACTGCTCCGCGCTTTATGTCGACCCACTGCGGGGTGTTCTGGGGAAAAGACGAAAGGTCATGCCAGTAAGTACATGGTTGATTTTGACAGTCAACTGTAGTCAATTTGACTTGGTGTTGAATGCAGCAGAATTGAAAGATATAGACCAATGCTGACTTGAAATTGTTGAAAAAGACTGGCTCAGAACGTCTAGTATGGGCCCAGGGTTCCCCTTCTACCCTCAAAGCTATCACTACGGAGCTCAATGGAGTCAAACTTACTATTGCCGCCGCTATCTGCTGGGAAAGCTTCATGCCTTTGCTTCGTCAAAGTCTTTATTCGCAAAATGTGAACATTTACCTCGCGCCCACAGCTGATGGCCGTGACACCTGGTTACCTCTCATGCGCACTATTGGTGGCGAAGGCCGCACTTTCGTGCTGTCTTGCAACCAGTGCGTGCGCTACAATGAACTACCATCCTGGATCACTGAGCAGGGTAAAACTACGGAAGGTACGTCGTATATGATTCCCCTCGGTTTATTCTACGTACTTGCTAAATGACCCATCATCTTTTAGAAACTTCAGACCGCTATGTCTCGCGTGGTGGCTCCTGCATCGTCGGACCCTTCGGCGAAGTCTTGGCTGAACCTATCTGGGAAGTCTCCACTGACGATGCAGCTGATGGCTCCAGCATCGAAAGTGGGCTTGTGATTTCTGATATCGACTTGGAGGATTGTGAGCGCGGTCGACTTGATATGGATGTTGCTGGCAGCTATTCAAGAGATGCATTCCGGTTAACGGTTGACGGGTTGGACTTGAACCCTCCTCCGTTCTAAGGAGCAAGTAAAAGCAATGCGGTTGTAGTAGCCTTCATAGCATTAAGAAGCCATTCAGTTTTGCATCACACGTTGCACATAGTAGATGAAAAAAAAAAATTCTGAAAATAAAAAAGGTAACAAGTGCCAAAGGAGTGTGGGCGTTATGTTCAGATGGATGTATACTAGGGCTGATCTATAAAATATATCAGGCAATATTATTTTTTCGATTTCTTCTCATCATTCTCTAATGAAAGATATAATATCGAGCCAATCAAGAGAGAATATTTATCTTACTTGTAATTAATTTCAATCCAAATATAAATTCCTACTGGATGCGGGATGTCTAAGCCCGTTGGAATGCGAGGTGGGCCGGATTCGGACGCCACATCTCGGGATCTTCGCACCCGCGTCGATCTTCAACTCTCTTACTTCAAGCCTTCCTCAACTCTTTGACCTTGCCCTCATGATTTGATTTAAACAGAAAGATTGTCCCTTGTATAACCTCACATAGGGACAAGTACACCCGCCTTCCATGCAGTTCGCGTTGCCTCCGCGGCGGAGCCCGCATACTCTACCTCTCTCCCGTTCCTCTCGAATGTCAACCTATCGCAGGAAACAACTAAAGTCGGCCGCTGTCCTAGGAGTCGCAATCTTATCCCTGATATATCTTCTCCACTACCTCTACTCCTCAAGCTCCACATCCGTTGCAGCTCCAGTGGGTGCTTCCGGTGTGGTAATCGTCACACTGCTAGACCGTCAACGTTTCAGCGAAAGCTATCTCAAAAAGATCGTTGCAAACCGGGAGGATTATGCCAAGCGTCATGGTAAGAGACACCTTTATGGAATAGCGTGGAAGAGCTTCCTTCACAATGAACTTGATCTAACCATCACCCGGGAACAGGCTACACCAACTTCTTCGTAAGTGTGTCAGATTACGACGATGCCGTTGGCGATGCTCCAATGAGCTGGGCTGTTGCACCAGCCACCCGACATGCTATGGCTACACATCCTCGCGCGGCATATTTCTTCCATCTCGCCACTCATGCGTTGATCATGAACCCTACCAAACCCCTCAAGTCTCACATTCTGGAGAAGAGCCGTCTTGAAGACTTGATGATGAAGGATGTGCCCATTGTGCCGCCAGATAGTATTATCAAGACGTTCGCACACCAGAAGGAAAAGGACGTGGACCTTATTCTCACCCAAGACAGCGAAGATTTAAACCCCGGGAGCTTCATTTTGAAGAATGGAGAGTTTGCCCGTTTCTTCTTGGATGTCTGGTTTGACCCGCTTTATCGCAACTACAACTTTGCTAAGGCGGAGACACATGGACTAGTAAGCAAGATCCTCTACTCTATTACTCTATCTCTATATAAATAGAGCCTCGAGAACATTGATTCTGACTGAAAATCTGCTAGGATCACATCATGCAGTGGCACCCAACTGTTCTTGCTCGAACCGCCTTGGTCCCTCAGCGGATTCTGGGCTCCTATAGCAGTGACTCGCCGGGTGCTTCTTTGGATGGTACCTACAAGGATGGTGACTTTGTGATCCAATTCCGTGGGTGCGATGATACAAAGGGCCGGGACTGTGTCCACGAACTAGAGCCATACTATAAGCTATGGGAGAAGAAGAAACAGATCGATTAGACAGCCTGAGGCTCAAGAACTTTATCCTTGAAGTGGCGCTTGCATTTAGGCGTCCACTGTTTCCACATGGGGGAAATGGTGTTTCTCCTGTTCATGGGTACACTATTCCAGGGTTGGTCAGGTCGTGGAGACCTCAACACATGGCGGATTTTTGTTTTTGATTGGCGTGCATACATAGCTGCAAAAAGAACACGATAATCATTCATTTTTTCTATGTCCAATACCAAAATAATACATCGCCTCATGATATCAGTAATTAGCGCATACCGTCTATCATGACAACTAGGGTTGATCGATAAGCTGTTTGGGACTTCTTTCAAGTCGTCAACAAAGGCAGTCCGATGCCTTGCTATAGTTTTCTCCTCTCCTCCACTCACACAACCACTTAGTCCATTGTGATAGTATATGGGATCGCCACAACCAGTCTGGGATTGACCATTCAACCAACTTCTTAGGCAAGGCCAGGGAAGATGACAGCGCGCTTCTTCTTGTACTTGTCACCGAACTCCTTGCGGTAGCGCTTCTCCTTCTTCCAACCCCAGCTCCACATCTGCAACCCACCAATAAGAACGAAGAACAGCACACTCCAGTTCAACTGGCTGACAAGGAAAATGCCCAACCAAGCCACGATCTCAAAGAAGTAGTTGGGGCAGGTAACAGCACTGAAACCGAATCCAGACGGAATGCCTCGCTCAGTAGTACCAGGCCGGCGGAGATTACGCAAGATGTAGTGCGCATTCAGGTTCGCCAGCTCACCAAAGACAAACAGCGCCAGTCCACCGTACACAAGGAACTGGTTGGGGGTACTGGTGGCAGCAGTCGCGTCCGGACGGAACACCCAGTAGGCGATATTGAAACCAGCCAGAACCCAGTAGTGGGCGCTGTTCTTGACGATGTTGCGGGCGGGCATGGTAGCGCTGCTGAAACGGTGCACGAAGATTGTCTCGAACTCGCGCTTCAGGAAGTGTACGCTCAGCAGCGCGCAGACGAGGAGCTGGAGGTCTGATGGCGGGGGGAGGGGCTTGTCGAAGGTGAAGTACAGGAAGGGTCGGAGTGGGAAAAGGAAGAGCGCGGGGATCAGGAGTGGGCCGAGGTATTCAATGATGAAGACGGTGCGCCAGGCAATTTGGGGTCCTGTGAGAACTATATGTTAATTTCTGTCGGTTCGCTGGGAAAACTGCGCTGATCCTAGGGGTTGGATTCGCATTGTTCATGATATGGGGTATAGACACGCACCGAGATCCTTGACGTAGATCACGCTTGAGTTGCGCATGCCAGTGTCCTCGATGGTCGTGTTGATCGAATTCGGGACCACGCTGTGGTCGCTACCCTTGGTGATTCTCATCCGGTGGGTTGAGCAACCGGATGCTGCGGAGAGCGCAGTGTGCAATTCTTCACTGGAGGCATTGAGAGGGATCTCGATTTCCTTGGGGAGCTTCCGAATGGGTTTGCCTGTTTTTAGATTAGCGATGCTTTTAGGCTACTCTCTCTGTGGTCTTGTTGAGAGCTTTGGGTAAACAATAGCTATGCATGCATACCCCTTGGCTGAACGACGAGCGTGATTTTATCAGCCGCCATGATGATAACTTAGCTCAAGCAAATATACTGCTTAAATGATGAAGCTTATTTGCGATCACCAAGAGAACTCGTTGAAATTCGCGACAGGCTAAAAAACAAGTGTAGTCCCAACAATCTACAATTGGGGCCTCGGTTGACGTCACGTGTTGACACCTGAGGCCGAATTCTCAATATCCAATGTTTGGGCTTTCCTGGGATGGCCTTCCAAGGTTGCCTTGGCAGCCTACTGAGAACAGGCAAGGGCAGCCGGCGGTTTTGCCGTTTTTATGAAAGTCGTACAATCTTTGCATCTTGGCAATTGAGCGCGTGGCTATGCTTTATGCCTGTTTCTTCGGATGATTTTTGTCTTCCGCACCCACTTCACTTGGAAATTAGACTGGCCTGTCCGCCAATGGCATATTATGTTCAATGCGGCATCTCCTCAGAAGGGCGCCGTATACGCCATTGTTTACTGGGACAACAAAGATTATATACCCTCCCAAGTCATCTGGCCTGTTAGCCCGTCCACGGAAGCTAAAAGGCAGCGAGGCGCGATGCGCATTCCAGTGGGGCAAAGTTGCAAGGCAGTGCTGGGTTTTGTGGAAGCTGAGAAAAAAACAAGCTACTGCAATATCCAATCCTAACATCAAATCAGAATCGAATGATATCGCCCCGTCTAGCCCTGGAGGCCTCAGCTCCATCTTGCACGGTTAGCCTGGCCAAACAGCATCGCCAATCAACGCCTCAACCGGGACAAACCTTAGAAGTCCACCGGGGACCTCTAGGTACCTGCCATTGTTCTTATTATTTTTTTCTGTAAGAAATTATTATTTTGCAGAGCCTGAGTTGCAGATCCTCGGATCCATTTGGCCGCTGTCATCGCTCCGATCACAGTACGCAGTTTAGACCACATCTTTCGAAACTATTAAATTGAGCCATTGGTGTTAATATAGCTCGAGGCTATTAGCTGAACTAGGCATTCGTATTCCGGATCATCCGCGGCCCATCCAATAAGTGGCTAGGCAAAGATCCCATAGGACTCGACAGGGGGATAAGCATGGGCGAATCAGAGATATTTGATTGCTTATAGCAGTGGGGCATTCCTCTTCTCCCTGGGGGGTCCACCTTGCACTAAGAATGATCAATGGAGGCGCGGCTGAACCTTCTAGGATCTGAGGTGCATTCAGCCGTAAGCATTGCTCGGCTGATGGCTCTCGGATTACTCCGTGATTCCCACGGCTTATAATTATTATATCCTATCCTATTTCCGCCGAAATGATCGCATGATGATTCACTTCTTCTTTTCTTAACTATCAGTGATTGTCTTTTTTGCTACTTTTCTATATACATGCTTGCGACTCTAAGTTGTTGCTAAGCTGTTCATCTTGTTACATCGATACTTCACCCTACCTCACTGTGCTTGAAATATACCGGTAAGCTACTGGTCGCTACCTACGATATTGTTTTTTTCTTGTATTTCTTGTTCGCCGTGTTCGACTTCTACCTTAAGCTATTTGGCCCCCGTTCAAGCTTCCCTTGAACGCTTAGTCGCAAAATACCACCCCGCTGGTATCTATGACGTTGAAGCTAACAGATTAACCACAGTTCTTACTCAAATTTCTTATATACTATTCCATTGTATCATATCATCTCAATTCACCATGTCTGAGAACGAGTCCACCTCCAGCAGCAAGATTGCTCAGCTCGAGCAAGCTGTGACTGCAGCCTTGCGGCCCTTGCCCACCCAAACTGGCGATGGTAGCTATGTACAAGAGCCAAATGTGACGGGCCTTGCTAAGGACCTGCTCCATTTTGACCTGAAAGATGCCAAAACTTTGGCGGACGTTGCCAAAAGTGCGCTGACTGGTGAGGCTGTGAATGACAGAGACTATGTCATGGAGCGCGTGATTCAGGTTTGTGTTCCCGCAAGGAATTGGCTATGTTGCCGCTCTAACTCATCTACAGCTTACTGCTGGCTTGCCTTCGACATCTCGAAATGGCAAGGAGCTGACCAATACCTTCCTCACCCAATTGTGGGGGGATCTGGAGCACCCGCCTGCCTCGTGAGTCGTGCAATGTGCTGGTGGTATGTGTGAAAAATGTCTAGTGACTGACTGGTGGTGCAGCTATCTTGGACGCGATGCGGCATACCGGAAGGCTGATGGATCTGGAAACGTAGGAATTATCCCATTATAGGTTGATAACATCTGCTAAACAGCCCCAGAACCCCTTCTGGCCTCAATTTGGTGCTGCCAGCACTCCGTATGCGCGGTCTGTTCGACCGAAGACTATGCAGCCTGCCACCCTTCCGGAGCCCGAGGCTCTTTTCGATAGTCTCCTGGCCCGGAAGGATTTCAAGGAACACCCAAACAAGATCTCTAGCGTGCTATTCTATCTTGCCTCTATTATCATTCATGGTAGGTTATTGTCTGTCGGTTGAGGTCTCTGCGATGAGAGATGACAGAATCGCCGAGGCTAACAATTCTCAGACTTATTCCAGACGGATCCCAGAGACCAAACAAAATCTTTGACATCCTCGTACTTGGACTTGTCTCCACTTTATGGTAACAACCAGAAAGAGCAAGATACAGTCAGAACATTCAAAGATGGAAAGTTGAAGCCTGACTGCTTTTCCACCAAGCGGGTTTTGGGATTCCCACCGGGCGTTGGCGTCCTTCTCATTATGTTCAACCGTTTCCATAACTCAGTTGCCACACAATTGGCAGCTATCAATGAAGGTGGTCGTTTCACGAAACCGGATGAGTCAAATGCTCAAGCTTATGCCACCTGGGATAACGACCTCTTCCAGACCGCAAGACTGGTTACCTGCGGTCTTTATGTTAACATCATTTTGAAGGATTATGTTCGGACCATTCTCAACATCAACCGAACTGACAGTGTGTGGAGTCTGGATCCCCGTGCGGAAATAAAGGATAGCTTGCTTGGCCAGGCACCTGCGCAGGCCACCGGAAACCAAGTATCTGCCGAGTTCAATCTTGTTTATCGCTGGCATTCTTGTGTCTCGGCTCGAGATGACAAATGGTCAAAGGATCTGTATAAAGAGCTATTTGATGGCAAGGATCCGAGGGATATTAGCATGCAGCAATTTACGGGTGGTCTTCGCCAATGGGAATCAAAACTCCCAGCAGATCCCCAAGAGCGCCCTTTCGCCAAATTACAACGCCAAGCAAATGGGAAATTCGACGATAATGATTTGGTCAAGATCTTCGAGGAGGGTGTTGAGGATCCTGCCGGAGCTTTCGGTGCTTTGAATGTGCCGGATGTTTTCAGAAGCATCGAGGTTCTTGGCATCAAACAGGCACGCTCTTGGAATTTGGCTACCTTGAACGAGTTCCGTCAATACTTTGGCTTGGCTTCTTACCAAACATTTGAAGAGATCAACTCAGATCCCTATATCGCGAACCAGCTTAAGCATTTCTATGACCACCCCGACCTCGTCGAGTTGTACCCTGGCCTCATTGTCGAAGAGGCCAAACAGGCTATGACCCCGGGTAGCGGTCTATGCACCAATTTTACTACCTCGAGGGCCATTCTCTCAGATGCAGTTGCCTTGGTTCGTGGCGATCGCTTCTATACTGTTGACTTCACACCGAAGCATCTAACCAACTGGGCATTCAATGAGATCAACAATGACGTCTCCGTTGACGGCGGCCAGGTCTTCTACAAACTGGTCCTGAAGGCCTTCCCTAATCATTTCCGTGGCGACTCGGTCTACGCACACTTCCCGATGGTTGTCCCCGATGAGAACAAGAAGATCTTGACCAGCCTTGGTAAGGTAAAAACCTATAGCTTTGACCGACCATTTTATAAAGCCCCGGCCCTCTTCATCAACTCCCACTCTGCTTGCACAAAAATCCTGAAAGACCAAGAAAATTTCAAGGTAGTGTGGGGTGAGAAGATCCAATTTTTGATGGAGAACAGCGGTCGTCCCTATGGCCGAGACTTCGCCTTGTCGGGCGATCTCCCTGCCAACGCAGCTTCTCGAAAGATGATCGGTGCTGCTCTGCACCGTGAAAAGTGGGAATCAGAAGTGAAAGCCTTCTACGAGGATATTACTCTGAAACTGCTCGAGCGAAACTCATTCAAGGTTGCTGGCGTCAACCAGGTCGACATCGTTCGTGATGTTGCCATTCTCGCCCAAGTTCACTTCTGTGCCAACGTCTTCTCCCTATCTCTCAAGACAGAGACAAACCCAAGAGGCGTGTTCAGCGAGCAGGAGTTGTACCAGATTCTGGCCGTGATCTTCGCTAGTATTTTCTACGATGTTGACGTATCCAAATCTTTCCAACTTTGCCAGACTGCTCGTAACGTTGCACAGAAGCTGGGTGAGTTGACGCTAGCCAACGTCGAACTCGTTTCTAAGACTGGATTTATTTCCAACCTGGTCAACCGCCTACACCGCCATGACATCTTGAGTGAATATGGCGTTCACATGATCCAACGATTGCTCGACAGCCAGTTGCCCGTTAAGGACATTGTGTGGTCGCACATTCTTCCCACGTCTGGTGCATTGGTTGCCAATCAAGGCCAGCTTTTCTCCCAGTGCATCGACTACTACCTCTCCGAAGAAGCGGCGGAGCATCTGGTAGAGATCCAGCGCTTGTCTAAAGAGGACACTCCTGAGGCCGACGAGCTCCTTGTGCGATAGTAAGTTTCTTCATATCTCAATTAGGATCTAAGAGGCCATACTAACTGTATGCAGCTTCATGGAAGGAGCGAGACTCCGATGCTCGGTAGCACTGCCACGATTCGTCACTAAGCCAACGGTGGTCGAAGATAACGGCGAGAAGGTCAATTTGAAAGCTGGCCAGGAGATCATTTGCAACTTGGTAAGTCTTTTTTGGCATACTTTCTTTTTCTTTCTCTGTCGGTATTCAGATATTAACAGACCGTGCGAAATATAGGTTGTTGCAGGCCGCGATCCTGTTGCGTTCCCCGATCCCGACAAGGTCCGTCTTGACCGCGATATGAGCCTGTACACTCACTTTGGCTTCGGTCCTCATGAATGCCTGGGCGTTAAAATGTGCCC